GGGGGGGGAAAAGGGGGGCGGGGTTTGGGGGCGGCCTGCCTGCGGATTGGCTCGGGGGGGAGACCCCCCCAAATTGTGCCAGAAAGGAGAGGGGCAGCCCTGAGCTTGCAAAGGGGATGGGGACCCCACCACCCCATTAGGATGCGCTTGGAGCGGCCGGACACCCCCGCCCCCCGTGTTTGCACCCAGGCGGCTGTGGCGCGGCCTCGGTGACACGAGTTGTGCCGGTCTCAGCCCGGCTGAGAGCTGCGGAGGGCAAAACCCCTCTGGGGTGGCTGAAGAGGGGCCGGGCGCATCCCTCGGTGGGTGCTCTGGCCAAAAAAGCACCCCCAAACCTGCTGTCGCTGTCGGTGGTGTTTTGGGGAGGACAGCCGGCGGGTCTCGGTGCTGCATGGCTGACGGGGAGTGGGACAGAGAACTGGGGAGGGGGACAAGATGGGGGGACCCCAAAAACTCACCGAGGTTTGGGCTGTGGGACTGCACGCACCTCGCTTGGGGTCTGGACCGTAAGCTCGGGGCGCGGGGACCGCGTGCGTCTTGCTGGGGGTGAGGACGTGGGGACGCTGGGGTTTCACTCGGGGCTGGGATGTGGGGACGGCGTGCGTCACGTTTGGGGTCGGGGTGTGGGGACCCTCGCATCCCGCTCGGGGCAAGGACACGGGACCCTCGCATCCCGCTTGGGGTCAGGATGTCGGGACACGGGGACCTTCGCATTGGGGCCGGGCTGTGGGACCCTTGCGTGGCACTTGGGGGTCAGAGGGGGGACCCTTGTGCTGGAGTTGGGATGTGGGGACACTCATGCAATGCCTGGGGTGGGGACATGGGGACCCCCGCCTTGGGTTTGGGGTCAGGACTTGGGGACCCTTTTCCTGGGGCTGGTACGGAGGGACCCTGGCGTTGGGGCCAGCACCTGGGGACATCTGCACTGGGGTCGGGACTTGGGGACCACCGTACGGGGACCGCAGCACCGCCCCGGGGCTGGAAACGGGGGGACGGCGGGGGCAGGTTGTGTCTGTCCCCTTCCTCCCCGCAGGGACCGTGACCGGGGGCCAGATCCGGGCTCCCGCCGCTTGCTCCCGCTCCGCCACCCTGGGCGGCTCCAGATAATTCGGATGCGACACCAGAGCCGCTTAACCCCATCCTGATCCAGCCTTCGCCCCGAAGTCCTGCTGCCATGAGGAAGAAGCCGGCCAACGGGAGGGGGCCGGATCCTGCGGCTCCCCAGCAGCGAGCCCGGGGCATCGCCAAGCCGGCGGAGGTGATTTACCCCCGGGGGGACCCCGAGATGAGGTTTGGGTGTGGGTGCATCCCCGTGACCCCCCAAACCATCGTCCCGGTGTGGTCCAGTTGCCCCAGGGGGGGCAATTGCAGCGTCGTGGGGGGGCTGTTGCTGACACGGGTGGGTTTTTGCCCCCCTCTCCAGTACGTGGGCTCCTTCGCGGTGGAGGACTTGGACCTGCAGCAGCAAGCGGGGCGGCTGGAGGAGCAGCTGCGGGCGCTGAAGGTCGGGCGTCCGCCACTGCTCCCCTTCGCTGGGAAACGGGGCCGGGGGGGGGCCCCCCCCGGGGGCG